GCGGGGACCAAGCTTCAGCGGAGGGCACTCACCAGGTTACACCGCAGCAGTTGCCGGGACAAACATGCATACAGTATGCCCTGTTTGCCTAGTGCCCCCCCACCCGTAGAGGCGCTGTGCGAGGGTAGCCCCCCTCGTTGCTCCCCCCAACATTGCGTGTCGCAGCACGGTCTCTATTGTGACCCGGTGGGCTGCGAGAGTCGATGTGATCTGGGGTGATCTGACGTGATCCCACCTGTCCAAGGTCGAGGCCGAGGAAGTTTGTGAAGAGGAACCAGGCCACAAAGGCCCCCACGGTGGCAAAGCCCACGTACGCGCCTGGCCGGGTCAGGTGTTGCGAGGGACAGGGGAGAGAAGAAAAGGGCATCGGAAAACGAAGACGGGCCGATGTCGGACGCAGGGTCGAAGCATGGAGGTTGGCATCAAGGCGTTCAAGTGGGAGGGGTGCCTCCCCCGGTGCAATTGTCGCGAGCTGCCGCCTCACCCCACCTTGCGACAACCCTGACCATCGCGGCCGGCACTGCCTGCACGGTGCCAACAAACACACGTAAACCCGATACACAAGCTCTGTTTGCTCTCCACTCTCGCATCCACTCATGGATGCAGAGGCAAGACTCCTTTCACACGATCAGACGCACTCACTCAAACACACACACACACAGACCAAAACACTCACACACACACACACGCGCACACACACACACACACACACATACATCCACAACATTCATGCACGCCGCGTCCAGCCCCCTCACCTATCACCATGTAGCGGACATATACCCAGGGCGTGATCAGCTGCTCGCGCGGGTCCCGCGGCGGCTTGAGCATGATATCAACGTCTGTGGGGGGGGAGGGGGCGCCGGGGGGAGTGTAAGGGGGAACGGGGTGGTGAGGGGCAAGTGCGGGCTTTGGTTTAGGCTGGGCATTTGTGTGGGTACAGGAGCGAGAGAGGGGCTTGTGGTGTCAGGGTGGCGGCAGGGGGAAAGCAGGAGTGCAGCCAGGCACCCTGCGTGCTTGTGCATGTGCATGTGCACGCGCGTGTGAAAATCGGCTTCGATCCAGTTATGATCTTTGATGAAGGAAAATTTGACTCAGGTCGCCTCAGAGCGCAAACACTGCCTGGAGTTGTGGGTACAACCCCAATCCAAAGTGGGCGTAGGGAGTTTGGATCACCGCCTGCGCGGCTCACCAGGGGGGTTGAATCCTAGAGCAGTGGCGGGGGGGCCATCGGTCACGAGGTTGACCCACAGCAGCTGTGGAGGTTTCGAGGGGTTACATCACCACAAGGTGCAAGTGGTAGGTGGTTGGAGAGGCATCCAGCCCGCGGATGCAGGCTTCGGCTGCAAAGTAATTCATTTGCTTGGTGTTCCGCAGAGCAGGGTGGGGCGAACGGCACAGCAGCACTGCATAGAGTGTTTGCGAGGCGTGGGATGAGGTGACCAAGACACCTCTCACCTGCACGGGGATCAGGCCCTCCGGCAGCCCCAGGATTGCGGTCAAGAAGATGGAGGCCACCTGGTGACGTCATCGGGGCGGGTGGGAGAGTGACGTCACGCGATGTCAGGCGCACGGGGAACGCTGGCGGCAACAGCGAGGATGGGTGTATCTGGGGATTCCCCTTCCCCTTCGCGTTTTGGTCACGGGAGCTGATTGAAAGCCTTAAAAATGTGACAACTAAGGGCAACCCCTTAGCAGGTTTTGAGGACGAGATCCCAGGATAGGGGCAGGGGAGGGAGGGGAGGGGGTGTTGGCGGGCCGCACCTCCCCAATGTTTGAGCTGATCATGTAGCGGATGAAGGCCTTCATGTTGGCGTAGATGGCGCGACCCTCCGCCACCGCGGCCACGATGGTGCTGAAGTTGTCGTCGGCCAGGACCATGTCGCTGGCCTCCTTGGCCACCTGGGAGAAGAGCGTGGACGCGCGTGTGTGTGTGTGTGTGTGAAAGAGAGAGAGAGGATGTGAGTGTGTGTGTGTGTGTGAGAGAGAGAGAGAGAGTGTGTGTGTGTGTGAGAGAGAGAGAGAGAGAGAGAGAGAGAGAGAGAGAG